CCCGCACGTGGTGGCGGGGAGTCGTTCCGACCCGAGGAGGCTTGAGTGTCCGCGTCGGCTGCGTCGCGTGATCAGCACCGCCGAGTACCTCGCTCGCCACGTTCCGGGTACAAGAATGGAATCTGGGTGCGGTGCAGTGTATGATCTGCATGTGATGTGAAGGTTGATCAGCTGGCATCAAGCTTGGCAGACGTAGTTTATCTGATGAAAGGGGGAGGAGATAACGACGTAGGCTTAACATGCTCATGTGCCCATGGGCTATATCGGTTACGTCGGGACACAGCGGACACGCGAAGTGAAAAGTCAGTTCCATGTCGAAAGCGGTGCGTCAATGCCCCAGTTCCAGATCGTCAGATCATGACGCCAGCCAGAGCCGCCAGCGCCTCCAATGTCTCAGCTCCGCAGAAAAACGCCTCAAATCCAGACCATCCAGACCGTGAATACAAAGCTTGCATATGATACAATGTCGCTGGCAATATCTATCCCAACCCGTGCCATATGTGTCCCGTGTACTGCTTGGAGCAGCCTACGCAACTCACTCACGCCGCCGCCATACGCCTATTGCCCCCGCTCCACCGCTTCATGAGATTCTTAATCCTGCCCCCATTGCCCGTCGCTGCGGCGTGTGCGTTGCCCGCCAGGGCAGCGTATCGCTCGCCATACCGCTCGCTGGCGGGGATCACCATGTCCTCGCCCAGCGGCGAGATGGCAGCGGGCACACACACGCTCTCGCCCCCGTACGCGTACCCGCTCGGCGAGCCCAGGCCCAGCCCCGCACCAGACCCAGCGACGGGCACAATGTCGCTCATCAGGTCGCCCATTGTGCGCTGGTCCGCGCGGGTGCCGAGCCGTGGGGCGCGGAGGGGTTGCGCAGCGACCGGCGCGGACGCACGTTCAGCGAGGTCGTCGGCGGGGAGCGCGTGACGGCGCGCGGGTCCAGCGTCGCGTATGCGGGTGGGGAAGGGGCGCGCGCCATGACGGGGGTCACGGGGGTGACGGGGCTTTCGGAGGCGGAGGAGCGCGGCGAGGCAGAGCCCGAACCCGAGGCGGGAGTGGAGGCGGGGTTCGGAGCGCTGTAGGCGGCGCACCGCTGGGGGTGTTCGGCGTCGTAGGCGATACGGGGGTCTCGGCCGGGGCAGCAGGGGTCGCCGGTGTGCTCGGAGCACGAGTGGGCGGCGGGCGGCGGGTGCGAGTTTGTCGTCGGCGAGGCGGTGCTCCTGCGCTGGCGGGGTTGGATGAACTCGATCGAGTTGCCCGATCGACGCGGCGTATCCCTCGCCTCTGAACCGGAGCGGGAGAACCGGTGTGCGCCAGATGGCCGTCGGAGCTGGGCTTCCCTCGACTCGCGGCGGTCTCGGAGTGCGGCGTCTCGCTGGTCTCGGACTTCTCTCCTTGCTCCCCGCGCCGGTTCCCGCCGCTGTTCTCTTGGCCTTGCATCCCGCGCCACATCCCTATCCCTATCCCTATCCCTATCGGTCTCGGCCCTCCGCGGCTCTCGCCGCTCATCCCGCCGAACAGGGAGCACGGGCATACTCAGCCGCCGGGCGGCGTTCTCATTCCTATTCCTCTCCTCGATCGGCGACCGTCGGCGACCGCCTCTCTCCAGCTTCGCCGGCGCTGAACCGACGGCTCTCGTTCTCGTCCCGAGTCTCCCGAATGCCGTCGAGGTAGTCTGGGTCTGTAGACTCGACACAGAATCCGCTGAGACCGCCAAGCTCGTTCAGCTCAGAGGCGAGACGTCGCTCCAGCATCATTGTCGAGGCGGGGTCGGGGTCGCGCTCAGAGTAGGGCGGCAAGCCACCCGGGCCGGCAGGTGCACGGCTGGCAGTGGCCTCGGCCTGTCGCAGGTTTGAGCGAGCTTCGGGAGACAACATGTCGGAGGGAAAGGTCGCACCCGTGGCCGAACGAATGGGAGTCGCTCCGCGCGCTCGGATCTGAGCTGTCGCTGAGCGCCGCGGCTTCAGGCCGTACAGGATCTTGACTGACTGCACGCTCTTCGAGTGTTGTGGGAACTGGAGTCAGCTGAGGTTGCCTGGTCGCCCGCCACTGAGCCTAACTCAGACACCACAGTTGCGTCCAGCAGACTTCTACTCACCTTCACTTCCACCTCGTTCAGGACCTTGTCGCACGCTCTCTTGTTCTCAGACCGCGGTGCGATGTATCCCCTGAGAACCGCCAGTGCGCGTTCGTCGCTCCGGCACGCTGCCAACTCGCAGTGCAGCTGGTCCGTACTCTGAATGTGTCCGAACTGATCCCGGCTACTCGACGAGCTGGGGGTCATGTTCAGCGGGGGCGCGGCGATGCGGGGCATTGTCGCAGTGTCCCTCACTTATGTGCTGTCGGCAGTGGCGTAGAGGGGAGTGAGGAAACCGAGCGTGAGCCTCTCTTAAGGATCTCCGAGTCGCTTAGCGAGGCTGCAGATAGTGGGCGGTGGGATGTGGGAACAAAATTTGATCTGGGCAAAGGTCTCAGCCGAATAGCTTAGCCACCAGGGGAGACCAGTCGTTAGGCGGATCGTGAATCGTGATCGTAGATCGTGAAGATGGAGAGAAAAGACGTTCGCGGATCTCCACAAGAACGACGTTGTCGCTCCGTGTCGGTGAGGGCTCCGCGTCGTTGGGCGGAGGGCAAAGTTAAGGTCGCGGAGTAACGGGGTTCCTTGCTGGGCTGGTCACTTGATGGTCCTTTGGCTGTACCGTTGCTGGGTGGGATGACGCTCAGGAGCGGCTTATCCTCGTTTAAAGACCGACTTTTCGATGGGTGGCGTCAGACCAAGGAAGCCGTACCAAGAGGCCAAGGGCGCGGCGAAGGCGGTGGCGCGGCTAGGCAGAGAAGAAAGGATGCGTTGGCGTCACGTTCTAGTAGGTGTCGATGGAAGGGGACACGACGGCGATGCACACACGCAGAACTGGGAGGAAAATGTCGGTCAGGAGTGGAATCAGGCTCACATGCTCTGTCGGCGCAGTCGACAGGCACTGCTTGACGACGACTGTAGACGACCGTTATGACGTCGGCAGATAGCCGCGATCAGCGTCGCCTCGGTCTCTCAGGTTTCCCCCCGCAAATCAGCGTCCACCACTGCGTCAAGTCACCGGGGTCACCGTGCAGGTCACTCCGTAACTCATCCAGTCCAGACTCACTCCATCAGCAGGAACTACGGCCAAACATGCATCGCTACCAGGGTAGTTCATTATTGTTCTCGACTTGAGTTCAACTTGGTAGTGGGATCGTGATTGAAAAGCGGTCATGCAGGGCAGCGACCATTTTGGTCCATTGTGTTGCCAAGAATTAACTTCACGTCATCCCTCTAAAGGCAGACCTGTGCGCTGACTGCGGAGCCAAGAGGGCACCAGTGCACGAGACGGCGCCTGCGTCGCACTAGCTCCAGAGCGGAGTATCTCGAGTCGTTTCTGGGTCACCTGGGCCTTCAAAGCGCACCCCGCACGTGACGATCCAGGCTCGATCATACTCAGGGCCGCATTAGCATTGCGTTACAACCTCGTCTAATCAACAGACCAGGAATGATTACTAAGTTGGCTAATAACCTCCTCACCCGCGAGGTGGAAGCGGAAGCAATCTCTCGTGGCCGCCGCGCGACTGACTTGCTTTCCCTCACCCACCCAAACAAACAACTATAACTGCAACTCGTGCAGTACATCCTCCCCATCCATCCCAGAGCAACCACCGGTCATGTCGACCAAATCACGCCGCCCCCTCGCCACACCCATGGGCATGCAGACGCCGAAGCGCAAGACCGTCAAGTCGAAGAGCGCGCAGCAGGCGATCCTCGACAACTTTGATTTAGAAGGTAGGTCTCCGAACCGCAACTAAGCACGTGCTGATGACAGTCGCCGACCGCACGAGAATGATGCGGCAGCAGCTCGAGTTAGCCCTCTCGACGTTCCTCGCCCAGGTCGACGCAGACATGTTAAAGATTCCCCGCAGCATGCGCGGCATGACGCTCGGCGAGCTCGATGCCTGCTGGGCCGGCAGCTTTGTTGCGACCTCTCGCGCGATTGCGCAGAAGCAGTTTGCCGAGCAGCACCCCGAGCGTGACCAGGCCGAGACGCTCGAGCTGGCCAAGCGGAAGAGGGAGAGTCCCCTCGAGTCACCGAGGAACAGCAAGAATCGTGAGTCGCCCCGTGATCGCAGCTGCGAGGACTTGGGGATGAAAGCTGACATCCAGCGCGCACCACGACGCCCGCCGTGAAGCGCCGTACGACCAAGTCGCTTAAGAAACGCAAGCTGGACCTGCCCTCCGCGACGGGCGCCTCGACTCTTCCCCAGGACCACGTCTTCGCCCCTCGAATTCCGCAAACGCCTCGCGCGCCTCGACGAAACGAGTCCTTCTTCTCGCAGAACGGCTCTCCCGTCGACCCCACCGTGGTGCCCGACGACGACCTCCCGGGCCGAGGCCGAGGCGGAGGCCGAGTCGATTCGTTCCGGCCGATCAGGCCACAGCCGGTCGCAGAGCACGCGCTCCGTCGCCTCGGGCCGGTCGGGACGGACGATGCAGCGCAAGCCCTCGCTCCTCTTCCGCCGGAACGTGGATGAGGACGAGGACGAGCCCGACGAGGGCGCCAGCGTCATCCCCCTCTCGGACGGGAGGAGCATTGCCTTCAACCCCATGAATCTGACCCCGGGCCGCATCGAGGCCGAGCTCAGCCAGGGAGGCTTCCTGAACGAGGACGAGAAGAGGCGCGTCCGCGATCAGGTGCAGCAGGAGGCTGTCAAGGCGCTCCAGAGGCAGATGGACCGGTGGCGCGGACTGTAGCCGCGGCCGTTGTTGCGGCGAGGAGATAGGGAAGGCGGTAACGACTCTGTATATTGTGTCATGTATATGTGCCAGTAATGTCCAACCACCCTCGGAGCGCGAACAGGCGCGAGGCAGAAACTATACTACTGTGCATTTTGTGGTACTACATCGGCTGGCTTTGTACATTTGCACTTCCAAGTGGTGGGTGCGTGATCCTAACAGCGACTGAACAGCGAAACGGAACGAGTGGGCTTCCTTTTGGTCTGTCTTCCTCGATTAAATCTCTATCAAACAGGGTGCGGCACCGCCCTTTAGACGGCCATTGCCTCAATCTTGTCGACGAGCGCCTGCGAGCTCTGGGCGTAGTTGATGGGCGCGCACGAGCGGGCTTGGTAGCGCACGCGCGCCGTGTCGTTGAAGAAGTCCTGCTTGGCCATGATCTTAAAGTCCCACTCGCGGCCGGCCGCCCGCGTAAAGTACTTCTCGGCCTCGGGGTCCGACTCTTGCTTGAGCTTGAACAGCTCGTTGGCGGAGACGCCCATGATCTGCTCGCCGACCTCGTTGAAGCCCGTGATCCAGAACGAGCCCGTGTGGTCGATCACGTTCATCTGCAGAATGTACCGGTGCACCGGGCCGGGGTACGTTCGGTTGCACTTCTCGCAACGCCACTCGGCACCCTCGTCGATGAGCTTCTTGTTGCAACCCTCGCCGGGACAGGCGGGGTACGAGAACGTCTCCTGCTTGATGTACAAGATGGTGGCGCACACGGAGAAGTAATCCGTCTTGTCCGTCATGCCGAGCTGCTCGTCCTTCGCCTGTCCGATCGTCTTGATCTCGTCGGGCCGCGAGACAGCGTTCATGGCGCCAGAGTTCGTGTACTGCTTAAAGTTCGTCTTCTCACCGACAGAGTCGTACCTGCGTGTCAGTTGCGGAAGACCGACTCAACTCACCATCCTCGCAGGGCGCAAGCCTCGTCAGTGTTCGGGTTGATCGCCATCGTGGCAGACGAGAACATGGACAGCGAGCGACCGCCAAAGTCGCTAACCTTGACGCCCTTGAAGGCGACAACTGGGTGGTCGTAGTGGGTGAAGTTCTCGGCCGTCTTGCCCCAGAGCGTGAGACGAACAGACTGACCACTCTGGTCGACAAGCTGGATGTCACGCTTGTTAAACGGCTTCTGCGTGGCCTTGGACGTGATCTGTCCGAGGTCGTGCACCTCCTGCACGACGCCGATGACATCGGTCGTCGCGTCCTTCTGCAGGCTCTCCAGGTCGTTCAGCTTCGTAAAGTTGTACTTGATCTCCGGCACACTCTTGTCGTCGCCACACTGACGTCAGCTCAAAAATCGTGATGACAACTCACGGGCTCGATCTCGGTCTGGTTCTCGAAGGTGATCTCGTACTCGTTGTTGACGTTGGAGAACTGCTTCTTGGCAATGTTGATGCGCGCCTTGGAGATGAAGAAGACCTTACCCTCCTCGAGCAGCTGGTAGAACGCATCAACCTGGTCGTTGAAGCCGGTCGCGCGGATCTCGCCCGTCTCGTCCATGAGCGTGACGCTGAAGAGCTTGCCCTCGCCGCGCTGGTTCGACCAGTGCTTGATGTCCGACTTCTGCGTGACGCGGGCCTTGATCGTCCACCTGAGAGTCAGCTAAGCAACAGGATACCTCAGCTCACTTGTTCTGATACGGGCTGAGACCCTCGATGGGGAAGATGGGACCCATGTCGCGGCTGGGGCCACGAGGGGCAGCTGCCGGGCGCGCATTCGACGCGCCTCCACGGCTAGCAGCACCGTTGGTGACCGGAGCGGCCTCGGGTGCGGGAGAAGCAACACCTCCAGCGGCGCGCTGGTCGACGTTGACGGGGTTTCCCACCTTCTGGCCGTTCCAGTTCTGGCGCTCAAGGGCGAGAATGATGATAAGCCTGAAAGTTAGCTTACGCGATCGCAGGGTGATGACGTGACATACTTGCGGTTCTGAACGGTGTTGATGACAAAGGAAGTGAGCTTGATGACCGTGTTCTTCTCCAGTTCATCATTCTCGACGAGATGGTTCAGCTGCGTGGCCAGCATGGACTGGATGAAGTACTCTCCATCGGAAAGGATGACGCTGCATGGTGGTCAGCAAGGATGGTCGAGTTGATTTTCGACGCGTCAGATTTCTATTTCTCACCGGTAGCGGTCCGTCGCCTGGGCTCCTGAGGCGGGCGAGTTGATGCGCTTCACGCTGAGGACCTGGAGGACGGGCTCGACGCCCTCGGGCGTCTCGGAGGCGGTGTGTGCGCGCTGGCAGAAGCCAGCAGTAAGGGGGCTAGCCATGGTGAAAGGTGGATGAGAGGTATGAGTAGGAGTGAGTGGCGAGATGACCAGACTTCGAGAGACTTCACTGGCCTGGCCAGTCGCTGCGCGCGGTGGTTGAGGTGTACTTTTCAGGGCGCGCCGACTGCCCATAAACACGCGTCCACTCCTCCACCGTACGCGTCGGTCACGTGACGCTCATGAACAACAGTCAACCTGACGCGTACCGAAGATCAGAAAGTGAGCTTGGTGATCTCAGCAACAATACCCAGCACAATGTCGAGGACGACACGGACACAGAACGCAGAGGCGGGTCCGAGCCAGTCACAGCGGCGTCGGAATGGCTTCAGCGACACGCAGTTCAGCACTCTGGACGACGAGTCGCTTCGCAAACCCGATTTATCAGATGACGAAGATGGGGATGAGCGGGAGAAGTGGACCATCGACACCTTTGAGAACCAGCCGGTCAGCAAGGACAAATATGGTCACCTCGTAAGCTGTTTTCAGGGTATCAAGGCTAACAGACAGCTGCGCGCGCTCGATAACCAGATTGACGACCTGATCACGCACGTCGACATAGCGGTCGCCGAAGCAAAGGACACGGCCGTCGCCATTGAGGATATCTGCCCAGACGACGCGATGATTGATGAGATTCAGGCAGGCCTCATCAGGAATCTGACGACGATGGACAAGCTGCAGCTCAAGAAGGAGGCGATAGGGACCATCCTGCAGCGCTTGAACAGGCAGGAGGACGAGGTACGCTGAATTCGTGCGGCACGTAGCTGACAGCAGTGCACGGCCGACGTGGTGCGGGAACAGCTCGAGGCAGAGTACGCCCAGCTCGTGGCGGCGTACGACGCGCGCTCCGAGTGGTCGAGGTGTAAGCTTTTGTTCTTCCTCTGAGCTGACACGCAGTTAAGACGAACGAGCGGTTCATCGACTTCCGTACCGGCATCTGGGAGGTGAACCACGAGGACGCCGGCTGTCCGCCTATGTCGACCTGGCTCGCAAAGGGCCCAGACGACGACGAGGACGAGATCGAGGTCGGCGGCGTGACGCAGACCTTCCGCTGTCCCATCACGGGCGGCATCTTCAAGGACGCGTGCAAATCGACCCAGTGCGGACACTATTACGAGTACGATGCTATCATCCAGAGCATCACTGTCGCCACTCGCAGGGGAGGAAACGCCAAGTGCCCTCAGTTTGGATGCGCGCAGGTGCTCACGAAGGCGAGCATTCAGAGGGACCCGGCGATGCAGCGCCGCGCGGACCAGTTCAAGGCTCGCGAGGAGCAGAGGCGGGAGGAGGAAGAAGACCTCGGGGATCAGTCGTTCATGGAGCTTTAGGATGGCTCTGATGCGTGAAGCAGCAAGGGAAGCATGGGAAGTGAGGAAGGCAGAGATTTACAGAGTTCACTGTACGTAGATCATGTAATCATGTTGTGTTATACAGGCTCATCCATCGGAGCTGGCCGTTCATTACCTGATGCCTGATGACTGAGATCGCCAGAATATGTCAGCAATCGGCCGTATGGAGCAGAGTGCGTCCGCTATCGGGCGTCTCCGTGCCCACTCAGCTCACGCGAGCTCGCGAGTTACTTCGCGCGCGTGCGCGTCGCTGGCATGGTGAGTGGTACGAGCCCTTCGGCCTTCGCAGAGGTTTCACGAGGGATACGAAGAGGGGTGGACTTCGCCGCCTTCCTCTCTCCTGACGGGCTATGATTGGTCTGTTTCGTTCTCGATCGGGGGCCGTGAGCTTCGCTGTGTCTCTCGCGTTCCTTCTGGGCCAGGTTTGGAGCCTGCTGATGCATCACTGCTCTGTCAGACCTGCGGGCAAGCTTAGGGTAGCGGCACATGATGCAGGGAGACTGGTCCGAGAAGGCAGATGTTAGGGAAGTGATTAAATGAAGATCGCGGAACAGCTCGGAGAATCATGCCCCTCCACTAGTCACCC